AACACGGTTTCAAACAAAAAGCAAGTGATCTAGCAAGCAACTAAGAGCCCGTAGATAACTACGGATGAAAAGGGTGCTAACACCTTCCCTTTTCATAACCTACCTCCCGAACTCAAGAAATAATCTCGAAAGGTCTTTCTTGTTCTTTTCAACCGTTCCTTATTGGATAAAAGAAAAGTCGATGGCGAATCTTGCTATCTGCAAAAATTGGGATCAAACACAAAGCACCCAAGTCAGTTCACCCACCGTATTACAGATAGTTTTGGAAACTATGGCCAATTGTTATGTCTTGCAAATTCTTGTTGACAAAATGTAAATCATGTGACATCATGTACATTGAGTGTTCATCTAGTTGGACTTTAGAAAATAAAGTTTGATACCATAAAGGGGGATAAAGTTGCATGGTTTCGACGGTAAAGTAACCCTCCCGTTAGACTTTATAGAAATATTGGTAATTTTTATAGAAAGAAGTGCGGAGCGGGCTGTAGAAGTGAAATTTTTCATTATTACATGCAAATCTGTCTACAAATGTACTTTAGATAGGCCCACCCTGTTAGCCTGGGGGAAAGTACCATTTATTATTCATATTAAAAATGAAATACTACAATGTCTAAGATAAAGTTCTGATGATGTGGATATAATTAGTAGGAGTCGTGCTCTATCATAAATCTCTATAGAGAAGCCTAAAACCGGTTGCCGTCTAGGATTAGGGGAAGGTGAAAGAGGCCAACTCTTCTTGACAAAACCCACTAGAAATTAACGTCATAGAATTCAAAGCAAGTTTAGAGGAAGTCGTGTCCTAGGACAAGTGAATCCCAAAGGTACCTCTCTACTTTGAGGTTGGGATGAAGATTTAAAGACCAATCCCATATGGAAACTTCATACCCATCCAACTCAACAACAACCAAAAATGCATCATAAAAATTGGGGATGATCTCCCTAGTCTCATGAAAGACAAACTCATCAATTTCCTCAAGCACAACACGTACCTCATTGTATGATTTCCTAATGAGATGTCAGACATGACCTCGGCATAACGTGCCATTAAATTAATATAATCCCTTTTGTAAAATATGTCTCCTAGAGAAGACGTTTTCAATCACCACAGAAGGTTGATGTTACCAAGAATGTTCTGAATTAGCTCATCCAAGAAAACTTCATCTTAGAGTTAAACTAAACTTAATGACTACCAAATATGGTTCTAGTCAATAAAGCATGTGGCAAGTAGGGAATGTATGTTGAATGCGTTGACCTAAATAGAGTTTGTCCTAGAGATGCATATCCTCTGACCAACATAGACAAATTGGTAGATAACTTGGATGACTACAAGCTATTATCCTTCATGGATGCATATTTCAATACATCTAGATCCCAATGCACAAGAAAGATTGAAAAGATTAAATTTATGACAGTGCACAAAGATTACATATATAATGACATACCCTTTGGTTTGAAAATATAGGTACGACCTACTAGAGAAGGATGAAAAAGATATCCAATAAAGAAATTTGAGACATGTTGGAGAACTACATTATTGGTGTGATAGTTAAATTCAGACAGGAACGATTACATGAAAGTCACCTCACAAACTGTGTTCAATTGTGTATATGGGTCCGACATGAGATTGAACCAAAAAAATGCACATTTCGGGTCAAGGTTGGAACGTTCCTAGGATTCTACCTCACTAAAAGGGGAATTAGAGTAAATTCAAACTAGTGTGACACCATCGTCAATATGTAGACTCCCTCCACCAAAATAGAATAGTGATTTTGAATGATATGTTCACCGTTCTAAACAGATTCATTTCCAAATCCGCCCATTACACCCCCTTCATTCTACAAGCTCCAGGGAATGAGGTACATCTTAATTTGTAGGATCTTTGATTCACTACACTAGACAGTGTACCAGTCTCGTCGAAGTAATAAAATCATTCCTCTCCACAAGGATTGTGAATTAAAACAAGGAAATAATCGTGCGATTGAAATTAAATAAATGGTGGGGGGTTTTGATGGCAATTTGGTACAAAAATAAGAACGAGAAAATTAATGGAGTAAAGTTTGATGAAGTAAGGCGATTAGATCTTTTTGTCAAATCCCCTAACTATACATTTTGATGAACTGTGTATTAAAAGAATTACAATTATGTTAAACTCTCACAGTGAATAGACAAGGCTATTGTACCTAACTCGTTGGTGTACAACTAACTAACTTACACAATAATTCTCTAATTCCTTAGGCCAATTCAAAGTTAAAATAGGAATTCTAAGTTCATTAATTTAAAAGTAACAACTTATAATTACCTACTCCTCGTTAATTACTAAGTTGAATAATTTCCCTAGATCATATTGGTAGACTTATGATCAATAATCCCTACTCATCTGATATCGATTTATGCATTCTTCATCACACAAAAAGACTTAAGATCAAGAACATTTTAATAATAATAACATAAAAGCATTCAATTAATCTTAAACAGTCATATGATCCAACACAATACAATTATGTTCATCTCAAATGACCTAATCTAAATTAACTTAGTTATTCATAGTGACAAGAACAATTACCATGAGTTTTAATAAGAAGTATACATTGAAAACAATGGAAATGATGCTCTCTAATGGCTCCAATACTCTCCAAAATCGTGCTCCAAAGCTCCTGGCCATCATTTTATATATCAAATTTGGAACGCCTAAAAAAGAACCAAAATTATCCTTTTAAAGCTGTAAAAAGCGTGCCAAGAATTCGCTACATCATGCTCGTGTTATATCTATCACAACATGGATATGACGTCATTTCACCCACGATGTCAGCAACGTGGCCGCGAGAACTCCAGAAGCAAAACTCACTTTTTTCTTCATTTTTTCACTAAGTCCATATTTCTCTCTTTTTCAACTTTGTTCAATTCTTGCACCGATTCCATCAAAATTACTTGTCAATTTTACATAATGACGGAGTGTCATCACAAAACTAAACTTACTTTATAGCTTATCCCAAGTAACTTGACTATACACTGAACATTTCATCATAATTAAAATGCTTACCCTTATCGATTAATGTCACCTTTATTTTTTCTGATCAACATTTGTGTTCCCAGCTTCAATCCAATTAGCTCAAATTTTTTTTCTTCCAAACACACAAGTACCCAACCTGTCTCCCATATCTCCTTTATTCACTCAATTTGACAGGGTAATCAAACAATCAATGTACACAAGTATTTAACAACGGGTTTATAAAATTTGTAACAAAGTCAATCAAAGTCATATTTAAACACACACTTTTATGGTATTTTCAAGGTTGTAACGTGACTTATGTCACGGTAGAATAATTTGGGATGGTAGGCTTAAACCTTTGGAGTTAGGTACCTAGTTTTACTTATGTTACTTGATTCATTTCATATCACTCTTTTTAATAAGTACTAGAGAATTCACTTTGTTGGTCCTATTCATCATCCTTTTCTTTTTTTCACAAATTTTTGAAGAAGTCATTTTTAACTTCTTACTTTTATTTTTATTCTTATTTCTTTTGACCAATTTCTCTAGTATCCCAACTTCAAACTTAAACGTTGCTAACTTCCATAGCAACCCCAAACTTATTCTTTTACATCAGACAAGGAAAATAATTTTTTATACCTAACTCCAAAGATGGTAAAAATATTTTATCTTTCAAGTCAAATGGCTATATAACAGGATATGTCATCGAAAGAATGTATACGGCTCAAAATGGTTAACAAGGGATATAATCATATTAAAATAGGGTAGCTTAAAAAGGATCATAGTTTTCACAAACAATTACCTCACACTACTACAAACAACGCTTGTAACGTCGATCGCGAAATGTGTTTTACCTTAGTAATTCATGCGAGATTACTAAGGGCGACATGAAAAGTTGTCACTTATCACCTTGGTGATTTAAAAACTGAGGAGGAAAAGCGGCATTAGTCACGTGTTCGATCCCTAGCAACTATATTTTTTGGATTTTCAAAATTGCGCTAATTTTTACCTTGGTTTTTAACAATAAAAGTAACTAATTTACAAATACTCTCATAAGAAATAAAAGTGAACAATAGAAATATTTGGCTTAAACCTTACTAGCTGAGGTATCTGGAGAATGAGTACAAGTAGTTCGCTTCCCTTTTTTCACCAACTTTCAATCTGCAAGGGAACTTCAATATTGATCTCTTTTGTTCATTATTTTTCTAGTGACTTTTCCTTTTCTTTTTATTGCTAGCACTTGTAAGGTAGCAAATCAAAACTAAAAGAAACAACAGTGGCAAACTGATTCATTAATTCAAAATAAAGAGAAGTACAGAAAAGGAAGAGCATTGTTGAGATCTAGAGATTATTCTTCTTTAGATCAAATCATAAAAAGTAAATAAAACAAAAAACTGTTAAGAATTTATAAGTCGCGTGTTATTCGAGTTGAAGTAGTTTCCAAATCATTCATACCATCCTGAAATTGTTGATTTTGTCTTACCCAGGTGGTTCTAATCTCATTTCATAGTTGAGATAAGGCTTGATTTTGCTTTATGAAGTAGGTCACCATGTCTGCAGCAGTAGTAAAACGCTGTCGTAAGCTCTGAACGGACATGTGGTCTCTATGCTTATTATAGAAAGTGTTGAAACTCAGTCCAAATCTTGGGGGTTCAACATAAAAGTTTGGTGAGATCTCGAGGGCAAAACTTGTCATACCAAGCACATACTCTTCAAGCCTTTTCAAGCAATAAGGTGCTTGTTGTTTTTTTTGTATGAATCCTTTTGGTTGATTGATTTCAGGATGATAGAATTGATCTTACTCTTCATGTTACGTTTCTTGGATGGACTTATTTGTTGGTTGTATGGCAATTCTTCTCATAGCACTTTTATTAATCGGAAACATTATACTCACCATCACATTATTAGGGCGAGTATGAACTCCAGCCAACCTGCATAATTCATTAATAATATAAAAATGTCCACAAGCTCGTTGGGGCGTGTCAGCTATGAACTTAATATTTTCAACAATCTACAACCCAACATTTATAGGCTCTTGATTTAAAATTGCCATCAAAGGGTGGCACCTCTTCACAATGAACTTAGATTGGTTGGAAATGGATTCTGATGTTTTCACAATAAAATATGTTGATGCCCTTGGTATCAAGCACATCTTCCTAGTCTTAATCCTCAGTGGTTTCTCATTGACAATCGTCCATTTAGCATTAGGTTGGCAAAATTCTTTTAACATCCTTTCACACATTCTATCAGTTAAATAAACACCCCTTCTATTTTGAATATTACACCTAGGAGGATGTTGGAGATGAAGAAGAGCATTAATTTTATAAGGGCCATAATCAATACTCTTACCTCGCACATAAGATGCATAATCTTTAAACGGATGCAAGGCATGATTGGCATAACTTGAGCCCAATAGATTGGTTGGTATCTTTAATCATTCTATTTAACCACATCCAACCTCTCTCTTCCATCATTATGGTTCATTCTTCATACCCTTTCAAGTCTTGAACATCAAATGCTCTCTCTTTTTCCATCTTGAAGTATTTAACCTTGAGGTACTTCTCGGCATTAACTTCGGAAAATGTTGGTAATTTGTAAAGGTTGTAGAATCATGGTTAGGAGGTGCAGATGATGTTGAGGCTTGAGTGATTCGACTTCTTTTAGGTGTCATGGCTCGGCAACAAGTTGGAAACAACAACAACAAAAAAAAGATGCAAACAAAGTGAGTATAAAGTGAGTAGGAAAGAGTAGAGAAAGTTGGTTGTATTGATGAAGTGCTAAAATTGGTCTTTTATAGGCTCTAAATACGCCGATCGCATACATGTTAAGATGCATTGTGGTTGCAATGACCAACGGTAACTTTTCAACGTCTCTTTTAATGTCTCTATTGCAATCGAATTAAAATTCATCGTGACCGTGATGAAACTCCAACATGACCATGATGAACTCATCGCGTGCACGTGAAATCTAGTAGTCTTTTTCTCTTTTCTCCTTCAATTTTGAATTGTACCCCTTCTTCACTTGGCTCTTTTCTTCTTGCATCCAACTTCTTTTCTAATAACATGCTACAAAATTAACAAATGATTAACCGAAAATAAATTCAACAATAAAATAAACTGCAAGAATTTTAAAGTGCGATAAAATAAAAATTGATGGGTTGCCTCCCATTAATAAATTTTTAAGGTCATTAGCTTGACTCTTTCGTCTAAGGTTATGCAAGAATTAGAGATACATTCTCCAATGCTTATTAACTTCTTGAATGAGATATTTAGTTTCTTTCCCTTTACAGCAAAGGTGCGTGAATCCCCTTGGTCTTTTATTCATGCATGTCTTTGATTCATAGTTTTAATGCTTTACATTTTTGGAATCGAGATGAAATTTTCCATAACTTTCATGTTTACATTTTCCATTTTGGTTGAGAAATGAGTAAGTTGCAGTTGGTCTGGCTGGCCGTGAGGTTGAAGATGAAGTTCAGGCCATGGATTTTATTTTTAATATATATTTATGCTTTTGTTTATAATACCGGATGTATAACCACCCCAGTGGTAAGGCCTAGTACATATTTATGTGCTCTTTTCAAACAAAACCCTAATGGGCTAGGCCTAGTACCAAAAATCCATAACATGTGATCTTTGTTTTCTGACCATCTCAAGTCCTCAAACCTCTTGCCTATAAATTGAGACATCATTTGCAACCTAACACACGATTTTGCAAGCTCTCAAACTCCAAAAAACCAGAAATTGCCATACAAGCACAAAAACTTGTCATTTTTTATTTTTGAATCCAATCTCCATATCCCCTCGTGCGTTTCTTGGCTGAACCATCCACAAAGCTTCTAATACATATATAGAAGCTATCCCAACCCTTGTTTTCAAACTGTAATACCACTTGCACCATCCTCCATTTTCAAAAATAGGGCATTGCACATTGACTTCTCCAGCTTGATTCAAGAACTCTCATCCCAAAGTAAGCTTTGCAATAGCTTCCTGGAGGTTCAAGGAAGTCAACTCAATCATCAAAACACTTTGAAAGCAGCTCTAACTAAAAACACGATCTCCAGCTGCAAGGTGAGTTTCCCGACTTTTCATCTCATCATTTAGGCATTGTTAGGCTTGCATTTCCAAAGACAAAATGTAGATATCATTGCCCTGAAACTGTACATATCCATAGATTTCATTCATATGGCCTGAGTAGAGAGAATTTTGGACCTGAACTTTTTGAAAAATTAGGTTAAATTTGGTACCATTCAAAATTCATGCTTGTCTTTGATTCATAGTTTTAATGTTTTACATTTTTGGAATCGTGATGAAATTTGCCATAACTTTCATGTTTACATTTTCCATTTTGGTGGAGAAATGAGTAAGTTGCAGTTAGTCTGGCTGGCCGTGAGGTTGAAGAAGAAGTTCAGGCCATAGATTTTATTTGTAATATATATTTATGCTTTTGTTTATAATACCGGATGTATAACCACCCCAGTGGTAAGGCCTAGTACATATTTATATGCTCTTTTCAAACAAAACCCTAATGGTCCAGGCCTAGTACCAAAAATCCATAACATGTGATCTTTGTTTTCTGACCGTCTCATGTCCTCAAACCTCTTGCCTATAAATTGAGACATCATTTGCAACCTAACACACGATTTTGCAAGCTCTCAAACTCCCCAAAAACCAAAAATTGCCATACAAGCATAAAAACTTGTCATTTTTTATTTTTGAATCCAATCTCCATATCCCCTCGTGCATTTCTTGGCCAAACCATCCACAAAGCTTCTAATACATATATAGAAACTATCCCAACACCTGTTTTCAAACTGTAATACCACTTGCACCATCCTCCATTTTCAAAAATAGGGCATTGTACATTGACTTCTCCAGCTTGATTCAAGAACTCTCAACACAAAGTAAACTTTGCAATAGCTTCCTGGAGGTTCAAGGAAGCTAACCCAATCATCAAAACACTTTGAAAGTAGCTCTAACTCAAAACACGATCTCCAATTGCAAGGTGAGTTTTCTGACTTTTCATCTCATCATTTAGGCATTGTTAGTATTGCATTTTCAAAGACAAAACATAGATATCATTGGCCTGAGTAGAGAGAATTTTGGACCTGAACTTTATGAAAAAATTAGGTTAAATTTGGTTCCATTCAAAATTCATGCTTGTCTTTGATTCATAGTTTTAATGCTTTACATTTCTGGAATCGTGATGAAATTTGCCATAACTTTCATGTTTACATTTTCCATTTTGGTTGAGAAATGAGTAAGTTGTAGTTGGTCTGGCTGGCCGTGAGGTTGAAGATAAAGTTCAAGCCATGGATTTGATTTTTAATATATATTTATGCTTTTGTTTATAATACCGGATGTATAATCATCCCAGTGGTAAGGCCTAGTACATATTTTTGTGCTCTTTTCAAACAAAACCCTAATGGGCCAGGCCTAGTACCAAAAATCCTTAACATGTGATATTTGTTTTCTGACCATATCAAGTCCTCAAACCTCTTGCCTATAAATTGAGACATCATTTGCAACCTAACACACGATTTTGCAAGCTCTCAAACTCCCTCAAACTCCCAAAAACCATAAATTGGCATACAAGCACAAAAACTTGTCATTTCTGATTTTTGAATCAAATCTCCAAATCCCCTCGTGCGTTTCTTGGCCAAACCATCCACAAAGCTTCTAATACACATATATAAGCTATCCCAATCCTTTTTTTCAAACTGTAATACCACTTGCACCATCCTCCATTTTCAAAAAAAAAAGGGTATTGCACATTGAGTTCTCCAGCTTGATTCAAGAATTCTCATCACAAAGTAAGCTTTGCAATAGCTTCCTGGAGGTTCAAGGAAGCTAACCCAATAATCAAACACTTTGAAAGAAACTCTAACTAAAAACACGATCTCCAGCTGCAAGGTGAGTTTTATGACTTTTCATCTCATCATTTAGGAATTGTTAGGCTTGCATTGTCAAAGACAAAATGTAGATATCATTTCCCTGAAACTGTACATATCCATAGATTTCATTTTATGGCCTGAGTAGAGAGAATTTTGGACCTGAACTTTCTGAAAAAATTAGATTAAATTTGGTTCCATTCAAAATTTATTGTTGTCTTTGATTTATAGTTTTAATGCTTTACATTTCTGGAATCGTGATGAAATTTGCCATAACTTTCACGTTTACATTTTCCATTTTGGTTGAGAAATGAGTAAGCTGCAGTTGGTCTGGATGGCCGTGAGGTTGAAGATGAAGTTCAGGCCATGGATTTTATTTGTAATATATATTTATGCTTTTTTTTATAATACCGAATGTATAACCATCCCAGTGGTAAGGCCTAGTACATATTTTGTGCTCTTTTCAAACAAAACCCTAATGGGCCAGGCCTAGTACCAAAAAACCATAACATGTGATCTTTGTTTTCTGACCATCTCAAGTCCTCAAACATCTTGCCTATAAATTAAGACATCATTTGCAACCTAACACACGATTTTGCAAGCTCTCAAACTCCCCAAAACCAGAAATTTCCATACAAGCACAAAAACTTGTCATTTTTTATTTTTGAATCAAATCTCCAAATCCCCTCGTGCGTTTCTTGGCCAAACCATCCACAAAGCTTCCAACACACATACATAAGCTATCCTAATCCCTGTTTTCAAACTGTAATACCACTTGCACCATCCTCCATTTTCAAAAACAGGGCATTTCACATTGACTTCTCCAGCTTGATTCAAGAACTCTCATCACAAACTAAGCTTTGCAATAGCTTCCTGGAAGTTCAAGGAAGCTAACCCAATCATCAAACACTTTGAAAGCAGCTTTAACTAAAAACATGATCTCCAACTGCAAGGTGTGTTTTCTTTCTTTTCATCTCATCATTTAGGCATTGTTAGGCTTGCATTTTCAAAGACAAAATGTAGATATCATTGCCATGAAACTGTACATATCCATAAATTTCATTTATATGGCCTGAGTAGAGAGAATTTTGGACCTGAACTTTCTGAAAAAAATAGGTTAAATTTGGTACCATTCAAAATACATGCTTGTCTTTGATTTATAGTTTTAATGCTTTACATTTCTGGAATCGTGATGAAATTTTCCATAACTTTCATGTTTACATTTTCCATTTTGGTTGAGAAATGAGTAAGTTGCAGTTGGTCTGGCTGGCCGTGAGGTTGAAGATGAAGTTCAGGCCATGGATTTTATTTGTAATATATATTTATGCTTTTGTTTATAATACCGGATGTATAAA